ATGTCTAAAGCCCAAACCAAGATGGTGCCATAAAGTATTAAAGTTACTTCAAAAGAAGAGAGAAGACAATCAAGACATCAATAAGAATCAGAATCATCATCTTCATTGCCTTCATCTGCATCAGAATTGAGGCCGTCATCATCAGAATCATCACCCTCTTCAACATATTCCTCTTCTTCTAGAGATTCTTCTGAATCTGCCTCCTCTTCCTCTATCTCCCTTTGTGAAGTACCAGTAGAAGAAGTTGCTCGAGTGGCCCTCCTCGGATCATAAACTTGCCCTGAAGCCTCCTTGACCATTGCCTATGTCAAACCCTCCCCAGGGAAGACCTTCTCAGTTCCAGGGTCACTAACTAGCCAATCTGAAGCATTCTCCATGTCTTTCGAAGAGATACGGTCCTTCTTGAGCTGGTTTTTCTTCTCCTTGAGCCTTTGATTCTCTCTAACAAAAACCAAATCATTGAGCTTCCTTTGCTCAAGCCTATTTCTTCTTTTTGTATGCACCGATAAGGAAAAATAATGCATAAGTAACTACTATAGGTCTATGATCTTCTTACCTTTTATGAATCTATATTACAAAATGAATATGAACTTATAAACAAAAAAAGCATATAAAATTTTATTCCTTTAAAATAGTAAAATAGTAAAATACCATCTCAAACGAAATCCAATTGCGCTCACAACCAGAAGAGGTAGTTGCCAATCTCAAGATCCGCATAGCCATCTTTTGGAGGTTTGGAGCGCTACTCCCATGTTGTCTCCACCATTAGGCTGCAATATGTGGGCAAACTTATAATTAATTTAGGTATTTAACGTTATCAGAACTTGAAAGAAAATTATAAATTTATATTTTATAAAACAAAAGTACATAAGTCAAAAGAATATTACCTGGTTCGTCTTTGTTTATCTGCCTTAATGCCATATCGTTCCCAAATGAAATCAAAGAACACTTGTACGGAATTAGCTCTTCAATTGATATCTTATCTTGGATATTTGGATTAGGGACTAATTTCTTAAGGCACTCATTAAAACCATTCATAATTACCCCTTTTGACTCAATATCTGCATCTGCTTAAAAGAATTTGGGGTTCAAGTAGTACCCCGCTGCATGCAATGGTCTATGGAGCTGCCTATCCCATTTATCATTTATAATCTCCCAAATTGGGACATACTTCGCTGTATCATCGTCGAAATTCTCTGCAATCTCATTCTTAGCCCTTTCCATTGCATCATATATAAAGCCCATGGAGGGCTTATCAGCATCAACCAAGCGCAAGACCTTAAGCGAAGAAATATTAATATCGCGTGCTTCACCCCACGCCAAAAATATTTCGAAAGAATAATATCTCGTGTCTTCTTTCCCTTAGCATCTCTAGACCACTTACACCTACTCCACTCCTTTGAAGCAAACATCGACCTTAATGCGATCCTCTTTTTATACATGCTCTGTAGACTAAGGTAGGTAGTGGCAAATCTAGTGACCCCAGGCCTCACTAGCTCTCTCTTTTTTTTAAACTTGCGCATCATGCTAAGGGTAAGTATGTGACTGTATATGGAGATTGTAACCTCCTTAGCCTTAAAAATAATTTTTTTAATAGGAGGCAATTCACCAATTGCCTCAAGCATAAGATCTACGCAATATGCAGTGCAAGGAGTCTAAATATGCGAGGCCTCTTTTGTCGAAGCAAATGACCTGTAGGTAGATTGGGGTAGCATTATCTGTGACCACTTGAATTACATGTTCCTCCCCAACCTCCTCAATACCCTTATCAATGAAAGAAAATATATTATACGCATCATGAACATTATTGGAAGCATTGATTGAGCGCAAAAAAACTGTACCCATGGGACAATTTACTAATAAATTAATGTTCCTCCTCCTATCACTCCACATATCTGTCATCAAAGAAACCCCAAATTTAGCCCATCCCTCCTTATAAGTCTTAAGATATTCATTAGTGTATTTGACTTCTTTCTTCAGTAGTGGCTCTCCAATCTCATAAGGAGTTGGGGCTTTCAAACCTGGCCTAAATTGCCCAATTGCTTCCAACATTGTATGGAAGCTATTCAAACTAGCAGTGTTAAAAGAAATGTCCACGTGGTAAATCCACAGAGCAATATACTGAATCACCCTGGCTCTATCTTCTTTTTTAAAAATATTTTCAATTATCACCGTTTTTTTCCCCTTTCCCTTACCTTTCTCAATTATTGTCTCAGGGCTAGGTGTAAAAAAACTATCTATAGGCCCCCTCGTACGAGCTTTCTTAGACCTAAAAATCTTCTTGGTCTTAGAGCTCTGAGTACCAACCATGGCTACCTTTTCTTCCCCCCTCTTCATCATTCTCTTATTCAGTTTCAGTATTATCATAAAAAATATGAACCCCTGACTTTAATTCTGCTAGATCCTTTTTTTTTGCAACGTTTTTACTCTTTTCAGCTTCAATGTACTCCAAAATTTCTTTCTTTACAAGATCTGGGACTTTCTTACATGGGACGACATCATTTCTAATACCGGCAAGATGTTTCTTAAATCTATTTATGCCGTAAATAGAAACATGTCCACAGAAATTGTACATAATTTTATTTGTCATTTTTATCCGGGTTAACACAATATTTCCATCCCGGATCTCCACCCCTAGTAGACCCCGCAGAAGACATCTCAAATTGAAAAAATAAATCTCAAATAACGATTACAGACTAACCTTTTCTACCCAATCTCTGATCTTCAATGCTGGCTATCTCAGTCGAGCTACGAATCAACTTAAAAGTCTTCTAATACCATCAATAGAACCCTAAAAATAATTTCAATAAAAAAAACAAACTTTTTCAATCCACAAGAAGTATTTTTCGATTCTCAGCAATTGCTTTAGATTCTCTTAAATAAGTTTAAGATTGAGGGTTTCTTGTTTTTTTTTCAGTTTGGGGTTGAAAATGAACCCGTAAACTTATTTTATACAAACTTGGGTGACCCCCTTTGCCCTTTTGGGCGAAGTTCAAAAAAAAAAAAAAAATCGTAAACTGTGATGGGCGCCTGCCCAGAATTGGGCGTTGGGCGCCTGCCTAGGCGCTCGCCCAGGTACAGCTGCCCGTGTTGGGGCGCCCAGGTCAAAAGGTTTTTGGGCGCCTAGGCACCGGGCGGTCTATTTTTTTAAACATTGCTAAGTAATATATATGGATATCTAGTTGGTGTCTAAAAATCTAGTATGTGAGGTTAAAATGCAAGTACCTACCAACATGTTCGGACAACTAATATTTTGAAATATCTTATATATAATATAAGTTCCCACATTTGAATTGATGTCATGGCGGTGGAGTAGGCAGACTTCTTGACAGATTTAGCTTGACATATCCCATGATCGAGCTGCACCGGCCCCCATTTGAGTTTTCTACGTTTCTATTACGTGTCTATACACATACACACAAATGGGGAGTGATTTCATGGAATGGTTATATAGTAATATTATAAGACTATGTTAGGGCTATTTTTTTTACCCTACTTTTAAATTAATGAACAGTCACAAAAAAACAATACTTGAAAACATAAGCTTAAGGACTTCTTCCCTCTATCCAAATTTGTTTAAATGGCTTTATTGTCATTAGAGGAACAATGTTAAAAAGAAACAAATGATTTCGAGTTTGTACAGGCATAGATCTTGAAATTCACCAAATGGAATTCATTGTCGAGATTCATTATTGGAATTTGTATGTATGTATTTATATAAAAATTGTCAAATATTGTGCAATAACTTCAAAGATGCATCATCTAGCAGTTTGTTTTCTTTTCTCAAGTGTTTTGGGGTTCAAACCTTCCGTTTGTTTTATTTAAGGTGTCGATTACGTTCTCAAAAGATGATGATGTCATCAAACATTTATGGTAAGTGTAGATAGTGTATCTATGTGTGTCAACGCGTATCTTAATATTGATATATGTAGACACACGACACCAAGCACAAGCAATATACAAAGTGTCTATGTAACACTAATTCTAAGAAGGACGGGCCTTAATCCAAATTCTTAATCATATGATCCTTTGAACAAATTTGGGTTGTGCTCCCTTCATTTTGGGATCACGATCCCTTTAACTCAAAGTGTAGGGATTTCATTCCTCTATCCTGTGGCCTCGATCCTGATTAGGGATTTGACCTTGCTCTCGATTCTAATAACTATGGGCCATTCTTGGCGGAGGGAGTTTGGAAGCATTAAAGATAGGTCACTGATTCAAGATGTTGGCTCAATGTGCACAAATGCAATAACCTGCCTTTGGGTAGTTAGAGCTCTAGAGTTTGCCTCCAAGACTCCTCATAACGATGTTTTTTTCATTTATTTTTAAATGCTATGATGCACTATCTCCTTCACATCACATGAAATAGATGAAAATAGAAGAAAACCTATGTCCATAGCTGTGTGCGTGGTGAAACAAAAAGCCTCACATTTGTGTAGTGGATATAAGGTTTCATGCGTTTTTTTTTTTGGGTGGATCAGTGGGGAATACAGGTCCCTACTTGATTCAGAAATGGTTTGTTGTTTTCAAATGCATCAAGGGAACGGAAACCTAGACCATTAGCTGAGGCTCAAGTGGTGCTACCACCTCAACCCCATTCCCGAGAAAAAAGATGAAAGTCAATGGGGTTTTGGGCTCCTTATCTTTGGTGAGAATGGAGTCTGAGACTTCATTATGGGGCTCGACAATACTACTGCCAAGGCCCCAACCTCTCATTAGATAGTATAAATATGCAAAAGATTAAACAATATCGAACATTTCTACTGTTACATATAATTTCTTGAGGGTAAAGATAATACAAAGATAATTTAGCTGGATAAAAGGTGTAAAAAATGGGGAAAAGATGTGTTTCTATTATGATCTATTATATATATTTGAGTGATGTCCAACTTTAGGCTCATGAATTGGATTCTGGCTGGGATTATTTTTGCAATAGTTCTTTAACATGTTCAGGTCAAAAGTTTTCTTGTATAACATCATTAACTTGAGGATTGATACAGGGTGTGTCCTCTTTGTCGTGGAGATGTTTGCCGGTCGGACATGGAGCCATCTGATAAAGTGGATTAAAGAAGATGAAATGTAATTAACATTGTGATGATAGGGTCTGATGTGGGCCTCATGTTCCCAAGGCCTAGTTGTCCAGGTCCATTGGCACCCATTTCTTTTATTTTTGTAATTTAGAAAGGTGGCCGTGGATTGGTTGTTTATATGCCATTGCCGCAGCTATGGTCTTTTTGTTTGATATCAGAATTCAGTTATTATGAGGTGTCTTTCCTTTTTCCTTAATTCTTTTGGGTTTCTAGAGATCTTTGGGCGAGAAATAAAGGCTTAAATCCTCATCAAGAGTTACGTGAACAAAAGTTTATCGATCCATTTCAAAGCTGCAGCAAGAAGCTCCACATAAGTGCAATTGATAGAAACAATTTAGGGCGAGAAATAAAGGCTTAAATCCTCATCAAGAGTTACGTGAACAAAAGTTTATCGATCCATCTCAAAGCTGCAGCAAGAAGCTCCACATAAGTGCAATTGATAGAAACAACTTAGGGTGAGTTTGGATGGACCATTTCCACTTGGTTGAGTGATTTTCTTGAATACTTTTAGTTAAGAAATAAGGAAAATTTCCATTGTTTTGCAATGTTTTCCTAATAAATTAGTTTTGCATCATTGCTTGTATATTTTGAAGTGAAGGGTTGTTGATTCTCTTGGTTTCGAGTAGGGTGAGCCAATGGTTTGGTCCGGGCTTCGGGGCTGGACCTGATTTCAGGCAGGCATTCGATCTTTGGGTTGGGGCTGGGCCCCGGGAAATAAACCGGCGGCCCAAAAGCCCAAAATGTATTTCACCTTAAAGTTTCTTTCTTTCTTTGCTCTCTGCTCTTTTTTTGCTCTCTCTCTCTCTCTCTATCGAAAAGCCCTTTTCATAATACCGAGATTAGGTTTTTCAGACGAGCAAAGGATTATTAGGTGGAAGCAGAGGGATCTCAAGAGAAGGGCCTTTGTATCGAGGATGAGGAGAGAGAAGAGGGCCTCTGTTGTAAGGATGAGGAAGAGGAGGCATGCCTCTTCGGTAATTGAAATTGTAAGCAGAGGTGTTTGGATATTTGGAGATGAGTTTTATGGAAGTCCCTATAAATTTCAAGATTTTGGCTTTCACTGTCTTTGAAACGAGTCGTGCATGATTCTAGACCAGGACATGGAGACCAACTCAGAAATTTGGGCTCAATACCCTAAATATGATGGTGTGTTGATGATATCGTTTATACCTTCGGTAGTTATGGTGTTGTGGCTTTTGATGCAGAGAGAGGAATATGGATGAAACCTTGAGTCTTGATTATATAACTGGCGGCAAGCGTGAATTCAATTGTGGAAAAGCCTGTTGTCTGTTGCCCATGTAAGTGGACATTTTAAGTTGGAAATGTGGTTTTTAATGAAAAAGTGATTTGGGTTCAGATGAGAAAGGGTTTTAGGGAGAGAGGTGTTTCAGATGGAGAAGGGGGGGGGGGGTTTGGAGAGAGAGAGAGTTTCAGTGAGAGGAAGGGGGTTTCATAGAGTGATTCGGTAGTGAGAGGGAGGGGGTTTTATGGAGATTGAGTGGGGAGATAGGGTTTTAGAAATAGAGGGCTTTAGATCTTTTAGCCATTTGTATCAAAATACTACGACATCATTATTATCTGAGCTTTATACTAACTATTTTGAGTTGACTATACGAATTTTTTTTTCAATATTTATTGATCTTGTCATTCTTTTTTTATTTAAAAAAGTGATAAATTATAGAAAAAATTAAACAAATAGATAAAAGCCGGCTATCGAAATTGAATCGATGACCATCACATTAAAAATTGCGATGCTAGTGGCTTCGCTTTTAATATTTTTTGCTTATACTATAATGCCTCTCCATAAATCTGCGTAATCTTAATGGGATTGATTTTAGGTGCATCTGTGGTGGGCTTCTTACAAGAAGTCTACATTTCCAAAATCCTTCAATAACTAATTCCTAAGATTTATGAAGGATAATTATTTAAACAATCGCAATAATGAATCTAAAAAAAAGGAAAAATCATAATGAGCCTAAAAAATGATCCATATTGTGTCTTTATCTAGACTCCTCATTTCAATTATTAAAAAATCATCAAAATTGCTCTAGTTTGGAGCTATCTAGACTCCTCATTTCAATTATTAAAAAATCATCAAAATTGCTCTAGTTTGGAGCTCCAATTCATGGATTAGAGGCACAATATAGATTTATAATGGTTTTCCTCTAATGCCAAGGGTAAATGCATGAGCTGGCTTTCACGGAATAAATTCGTTTTTAGATAATTTAGCAATTTCTATATTCGTTATTTTTGTATTATTTTATGAATCTAATAAATAATTGAAAAAATATCCTTTAAGGGGGTCAAACCCCTGACAAAATAATTAAGGAGTTCAAAATTTCAATTAACATTAGAAGATGTACATAATAATTTTCATTTCATTCGATACTTCCTCAAAAAATGAAATAGAGAATGCACAAAATTGCATTCTTAGGATTCGAAAACCTGAACAAAGCCATTTTAGTAATTTGACCTATCTTCAACAATCAAAGGTACTCATTTGCTTGGGGCCTCTTAGAAGGACAAATTACAAAAATGATCATGCTTGATGGTTATTTTGAAGATGTCTTTTGAGGAGGCACCTGAATGAAATGAAAATTATAAAGTTAGTTAATTGAAACGTTTTGATCCCCATAATGATTTTGTAAAATATTTTTTATGGCTTAAATGATGTTTTCGGTAAACAAATATGCAATTTTTATTTATTATTTTGAAAAATACTGTCCAACTTATTAGGTTGCCAGTTGGATTCAAACAATTTTAGACTAGATCAGAGCTTTTGCCAGTTTGAGGACTTGTCCCATCCTATAATTATAGTAGTACTAAATTAGAGAACATATGGTGTTTTCCACACTATTTGGGGGTCCAGTCCTGATGTTTGGAATTGATGGGCTGGTTTGTTATAGTTTGCCAAACTTGAATTCTCCTAATCCTTTAGTACCTATAGACAATCTTCAGGTTAGAGATCCATGCCAAGTTACCATTTAAATCTAATAAGCATGTATATGGACTCCCGTTACAACTTCTCGGTATATAGTTCCAAAACCCCGATCACAGGGCGGATCCTCCACCCCTTGTTGGAATACTGATTTGGATCCATCTAAATTAGTGATTCTAAAAAATGTTTTTTTTAAAAAAAGGGACCGGATCCCACATTTCTAGCTCTTGTGGGAGATATTGTTCCTTTTGGAACCGGATCCCACATTGCTCTTGTGGGGTTTTTGATAGAAGCGATGCCTAATTCATTAAGCTGGAGAGTCTATATAAGAGTGATGAGCCGGACGGCCTAGATTGACTATTGTCAGACACCAATAGAAGTTGTGGGCATTATGGTCAACTTTGTTTGAGCATATCGGATAATGGAGTAGTTGTGAGTATGTAATGGATTGTACTCAAAGTTCAAAAAATATTTTCTCGATTTTTATAATACACCTCAAGCCATTAAATTTCACATCTAATGGGTAGAAGTAATTGTGCATATTGTACTCAATAATTTTGGATATTTTTATACCATTGTTTTGTATGTGGAGCACTTTTTTAATAGGTTTTGTTAGGGTGCTCATACTATGGAGTCACTTATCATTGTAGCTAATAATTTTGGACCCCTTTAGACCTTTATTTTATGCATCAAGCATTTTTTTAATAAAGGTATTTTTTGTCATTAGGACAGATGTAATGTCATCCACATAGGTTGTGACATCACCTATATGGACCATACTATTGACATTTAATACTCCATGTGGGTGATGTCACACCCCATGTAGATGATGTCATATCCATTTTAATTACCAAATATATCTTTATTAAAAAAAGCTCCATATTCAAAACAAAAGCATATATGTGATAAAAAATTATTAAGTCCAACGATAAAGTACTACATAGTGTAAGTACCCTATCATAACCCAAAACTAAATAGTTTTATTTTATACAATTCCATTTATGCTCTAGGTTAGGTGCACCTCTCCCCAAAGCTTAAAGTCAAAAGGAATTATAAAATGACAAAAAAAAAAGGAAAAAGAAAAATGAAGTGGTGCATTGACTTGTCTGCGATCGAGATCTTGGAAATTGAATTTGTGCCATCAGGCCTACCATAGGTGAGGAGATTCACATATAGATTTTCCACACATATATACATACACACCCTCTTACCATAAATCGGAGTGGATTCTCGTCTTAGGCCAACTTCATAATATATTTTTTAGCACTATTAGGAAGTAATCCAAACAGTGAAGGTGGACAAATGCAGGTGGGATACTATAGGTCTTAATAGGCTTTCTATTTACGCTCAACATTGAGAACCAGTATGAATTGTGCTCCCCTAGATTTAAAATAAACATAAAAAGATACATGATCATGAGCTGGAAAAAAAAGAAGTCAAATGGTGCATCGCTCATGAGTATTTTGATAAATTTCCCTTAAACAGGTTTTTCTTCCCCTGCTTGCATGGAAATTCACAGTATTTCCTAATTGAGAAGGGTTCCAAAAGCGACGATGACAACCGACTTACAATCGGAGAAAGCAAATGGTTAAGACCTGGGGGTCTTCTTGTGTCAGTCCTTTAGAATTAGAACAAAATCTCCCATGCATCATTATAAAGGTGATAGAGGATACACTGAATCCTCAACCATCTTCTCCATCTGCATCTACAGTCCATGGGACTTATTAATTAATCCAAGAAACGACTTACCTTTGGTAAAAAGATGTCACAATTACTTATAGCCATCGGATGTGAAATATGATAGCTTGAGTGCGTCACAAAGTTTGAGAAAATTTCTTTTGAATTTTGAGCTTGGCCAATGAAATAAATGCATCCATCCAATTTTATATCCAATGGTCAAAATTAATTTTAACCACTTTGTACCAAAGGTAAATGATCTCATTGTATACTTTTCCAGCGATCATAGATCTTCTTCATCAATGTTTAGCAGTAGTCTTGGCTCACTGAAGCACCTCGAATAAAATCTATCCAATATTCACAGATGTACGTCAACAGAGGACAAATTTTTGCACATGTTGCGAACAAGGTCAGTGGGTGTAGAGTTCCAGATATCGTCAACCCCTTCAAATTCCAGATTCTAGAGTAACGGATGTTTTACTCGTCCTGATGGATTATCATCCTCTTAGAATAGTTTCATTAAGTTCTTCTGTATGAATTTTTCATACGGTTGGGGAAAGAAAGATATCATAAATTTCCCTAAAATATCTGTCTCCACCTTGTATAAAGATCAGCAGTCAAAACTATGCTTCTTCAGAACAACTCTTCGACTGCACCACCATCTTTACTGTGATGCTATCAAACATGTTAGGCCTCTGGTGCTGTCTGCTATATATGATTCCTAAATGAGCTCACAAATGCATCAAGAAGCATCCCCCCTTCTTTAGATAACAACCTTGTGAAATGCTTATCCATGACATCTAATTTTGTTGATGATTTTTGCGTGGATACTCCATCTCATGTTACTGGACATTCAAGGAGAATCTACCTACCACATGCATGTTATGTTTGACGCGTTAGCCCGTCAGTAATTTGCAGGGGAAAAAGAAAAAGAAAAATACTTTAAATCAGTTAATGATAGACTTCGTTTGTGTATTTAGGAATATACTAAATTTACTAAAGGCTGTTAAAAGTACAGCACAATGTTCAACTTTGGACCTACCCATCCAATTGAGGGGTTAAACTTAACACATTATTTTGTCAAAAACAATATGTACCACTTGTACAACAGTGAAAAATAAGGTACAAGGCAAAGAAAATAGGGGAGGGAAGGAGGGAGAGGGAGAGGGACAGATTATTTTTAAGATCATCAATGCTATATAGAAGATTTCCATCTCGCATGCTGTCCCACCGGAGACCGATTCAATATCTTTTGGTGTCTTCATGACCCTTCTCTCATTTTTTCCAATTCACAAGGTTGAATTTATAGGCACTCCTCTATGAGATGCAACATGCAGTCCACCTCAGATTAATTAAGGCCGCACTTTAAAGCAGGCATCCTTTTCTTACTTGTTGAGTGTAACATTCAAACCTCTAGCTAAGCGGTTCCGTTAAGGAGCTCCACATAGCCAAGTTACATGGCAGATGGAACCCAACTTGCTTCATCAATGTGCCACTATCTATTTCCATTTCCCTGGTCATCATTATAATGCACCTTGATTACAGCCCCAGCAACCTCATCTCAGCATCTAGATCTCTTAGTTTGCCATATATCTCATCAGATTGAGGGTGCTTTTGGTCTTTTGCCACAAACAAATGAACCCATCCCCCTACCTCAATCCAGCTACAGCCAGGTTCCTTTTTTAGCCCCATCTCCTTTATCCCTCTCCTCACCATGTCCACACTCTCCCACCTTCCCTTTAAAGCGTACATATTTGACAACAATACATGGTAGCCTACCAACCCTTTCTCCACCTCAAACAACCTCTTAGCAACTACCTTCCCTAACTCTAGTTCTCCATGGATCTTACAGGCCCCTAATAAAGAACCCCATATTCTCACATCAGCCTCTGCCCCCATATTTTCCACAAATTCATAGGCCTCTCTCACTCTACCTGCCCTACCCAACATATCCACAACACAACAGTGGTGTTCCATTCCAGGTTTTTTCTCACCCACCATTGAATCGAATATCTGCATCCCCTCATCCACAAGCCCAGAGAATGCACAAGCTGATAACACAGCTACATAAGTGATCCTATCCGGCTTTATCCCAAGTTTAGGCATATGATTGAAGAGTTCTAGAGCCCTTTGGCCATGCCCATGTAGGCCATAGCAAGATATCATAGTAGTATAAGAGATGGTGTTCTTTTGAGGCATTTGATTGAAGATCTTTTCTGATGAAGCTATAGAGCCACATTTGCCATACATATCAATTAATGCAGTATCCACAAACACGTTTTGATCAAGGAAGTGGCGAATTGCATAGCAATGGAGCTCACACCCATTTCGGATCGATGCTGTGAGGTTACAAACAGGGAGCAAAGAGGCAATTGTTACTGAGTTGGGTGTGCATCCTTGCTCTTGCATCTCCTGAAAGATGGCAAAGGCCTTATCGCCCACCCCATTTTGCACATAACCCGCAATCATGGCATTCCAAACCACTGTATCTCTCTCAATAATTTTATCAAAGACTAGCTCTGAAACCGTAATGAGACCGGATTTCGCATACATGTCAATCAAATAGCTTTCAAGCCCTAGAGGTTCAACTCCATTCCTTAAAATATAAGCATGGGTTTGCTTCCCAAGCCTTGAATCTCTTAAATTCGAGCTTGCAGACGCTAAGGCAGTGACAGTGATGGAGTCAGGATGGAACCCAAGCCTTAGCATTTCTCGAACAAGCTCTAAACCTTCCAGATCAAACCCATTTTGCACACATGCCGATACCATTGTGTTCCATGAAACCAAATCTCTTTCAACCATCCTATCGAAAATTTTCCTAGAAATTTCAATCCCGTCACACCTCGCGTACATAGCAATTAGCGCATTGGACAAGATCAATGGTGATTTCTCAACAGTCTTAATCAAATAAGCATGCAATTCTCTACCAAATTTTATAACTTGAGCTTGAGAAATGGTTGTTAATCCGACCAGTAGGGTCACAATGTCTGGTTTGAGTTTGGAAACAAGAATTAGCTGGAAGAGTTCTAGGGCTTCACCAGAAAAGTTATTTTGAAGATACCCATTGATCATGGTATTCCATACCTCTACATTCTTATCAGATAACCGATCAAAAATCTTCCTTGCTAAATCTATGGCTGAAATCTCACAATAGGCACATATCAAGGTGCTAACAGCAAAAGGGCAGTTATAATAGCTCGGCCCATGCTTTAGGATCAACCCATGGAGAGAGCCTAATGGTTTAAAACCCAATCCCAATAATGAGGAGGCTGGAAAAATGTTCACAAAACTCACAATAGTCGGCTGGATTCTTGCCATTAACATGAAATTAAAGAGCTCAAGAGCTTTTGAACCTTGCTCATTCCTAACAAACCAGGAAATCATGGTGTTATAAGTGATTGAGTTTTTTCTAGGCATTTTATCAAACAGTGACTGAACCGAATGAGAGTCCAGACAATTACAATACAAGCTTAGCAGAGAATTGTAGAGAATTTGATTTGGGTTCACCCCATTGAGTATAATCTGTGAGTGTATAGCCATACCTAATCTTAACTCCTGCAATTCAGTGCATGCTTTCATGGCCGCTGAGTAAGTATAATGGTCAGGTTTCAGGCCAGTGGAAACTAATTTAGAGTAGAACTCAAGAGCTTTTTTAGGCAATCTATTGCATATAAAGCCTACAATCAGTGTGTTATACGTGACAATGTTTGGCTTAGAGAGAGTGTAAAAGAGTTTCATGGCTTCATCTAACTGGCCTTCTTTACATAGCTGGCCTATTTGGGCACGAATTGATGACGCCTTTTCTTGGGTTTTCTCAGGCTGAGGTCTAGCTTGAATTTCACAATCTGGGTTAAGAGCATTTGAACGAAATCTTGAATTCGTTCCTGTGATTTTTTGGGCTCTTTTGGCAGGAGAATTGGCCTGAATTTCAAGATTTGTGTTTGAAGTGCTTTGAACTTCTCTTCTGAATTTTCCTTGGGGCAATTTGCTCGGAGTTTCCGAACATTGGTTGAAAAGGCTGATGAAATCCTCTGTTTTTTCAAAATTTTTTGATGCTCCAAGAACTTTTTCTGGATTTTTTTCATTGATTCCTGCCCCTAAATTTGCTCCAATCTTCAAAGAACAACCCCCATGTACAAAGGATCTAAGTGCACTCCCAGATGCTTCAGTTTTCAAGTTGAATTGTTTCGTGAAAGGAACATCGAAAGAAAGTCTAGTTCTTGATATTTTTTCTGGGTCTGAACAAAAGAGAATTACAGAGCTTTTATCCGGGTTTTCAACACTTTGGACCTGTAAATTCATTTGACTTCTAGTTGAGTAAGCTCGACCTACAGTAGCGTTTTGTGGTTTCCTGAGAGTTTTTTGGTGGGGAATTTCAGAGATTTGTAAATCATGGTTTGCAGAGGAATGAAGAAGGTGGGTACTAGTGAGAAGAAGAGGGTGAGTTTCCTGGAGGCGGAGAGAGTTGCACAGATGCAGGAGAAGGGGGGCCACCATTCTGAGGTTTGGGTGAGCTTTCATGGCGCGTCGAGAGCCATGAGAGAGTTGAGTTGTGGCCACCGGCCAATACGAGAGACGAGGCTAATGCATAATTTTGTCTGTCTATGGCGGGTTGATGACGTTTTGGGTTCTATTTCTGTGACTGACAGGTAACGGATCTAATCTCGAGTCTCTAAACTACTCGTAAGATTCACCTGCAGGAAGGATGTATTCAAATGTTACTTACACAAAGGGGTCGTATACAATGAGGCCATTTACCTTCACAAAGTTAGACGAATTTTTTTGTTGAACTCTAGGCTCGGTCAATGAAATTCAGAGCAATAATATAAAAGGTTGCGGTTTGTATAGAGGTGAGGCTATCAACCATCAAAGTAAGCCCGGCCCACCCTCAAATAATGTAGAGAAATATGGTTCCAATACTGGAAATATTTGTGATAACGTTAAAATATATTTTTATTTTTAATTATAAAATTTAAAGCTTCAAAATAGTGTTGATCGAACAGATCTATAAAAATTTGAAATTCTTGAAAATTGACAGTCCAAAAATACGTTGCAAAATGTACTATTTTCATAACTTGAAATCTATTTTTTTCTCATGCCCATGCATTTTGATGTCGAGATGATCAATTTGAATATCAATTTGATTGCTTAGAGCCTCAACAATATATAATTTTTTTCCTATGAGTAACCTTGTTAGCCATCTAAAAAAATTGAAAAAGAAAAAATCCTTCTAAAGCCTATATCTAAGCATCTTATCAAAATGGACGGCCTATGTTAATTGGATTAAAAAATTACTTGCTAGGTTGTATTTT